GGTGTTCCCCGCCAGCGGGTGACGCGGCAAATTTATATTCAGCCTTCCCATACCCGCGGGTAACTCGTACGGCCCCGTGAAAGTTTTTTACGGGTGAATTATTATTTCGGGAATCACGGGATCTAGGAAGCTGAATTTTGAGGCAATGATCCCCTGCCCACGCTCAACCTTGCCCATCCAAATTCAGCCTTCCCTTACCCGCGGGTAATACGTACGGCCCCGTGAAAGTTTTTTACAGGTAAATAAATATCTCGGGAACCACGAGGTCTAGGAAACCGAAATTTTGGAGTAATGACCCCTTGCCCACGCTCAACCTTCCCCATTCAAATTCAGCGTTCCCGTGCTCTTGAGTGTCACACACGGCCTCGTGGAAATTTTGGCGGGTAAACTGTTAACTTGGAATCACGGAAAAATATTCACCTTTCAAGGTTTCGAATTCAGCCTTCATGCGCTGGTGCGTGAAATTTCTAACTATTTTTCAGTGTTTGAACTATTTTTGCATAGACTAAAGTACAAAGCAGCGAAAATCATCAATAGGCAGTCGTTCGATGAGCTGAATTGCACAAAATGCATGATCGCATCGGTTAGTCTGGTGCGCGTTGCTATTTATTTACATTTTGGTTCCTAGGGATCAGACTTTCGTTTTCATTCCACTTCTGTCGATCCTTTTGTCGCAGTCAAAATGCAATTCCGAGTTTACTGACAACTTCAAAATAATTGACCAGTGCAGAAACAGAGACACTGGTTTCTGTAGTTGCCCCAGATATCGTTTTTCAGTTGTTACCGCTAACTTCAGTAATGAAGTCTCAAATTTGGGATGTTATATACGTCCATTCATGCCGGTGGACAAAAACATATACGAAAATTAACAAATTTTTGAAAAATTAAGCTTGTTCAAATCCACGCCGATTTTGTAAAATAAAATGAAACACACAAAAAAAGAGCAAAAAATGAGGAGATGCTACAGTAGTAGCACTGATTGGCTGCTATACAAACATTGGCAATGGTGGCGATGGGAGGAAGCATCCCACTGCTTCTTGCCAGAAATAGAAATCAGCGAGAAAACCAGCAGGGCCTCATATCATGGTCGGCGCGTAGCGGACACAAAAGAGCACCAAGTGGTGTTGCGCAAAAAGTTTTTATGGTTTCCTATTTTTGAGAAATTTTCGGTTCAGCACAGCTGCATTGCATCTGATTTTTGCACCTTCCGCAAGTATAGCTAGTATTTTGAATAAAGTTTGAGGTTATGAAGTGGGCAAACTTTTCGCTACTTTTGATGTAAAGGCCGTGGTTGTGGCCTCTTAAGCTCGTGTTTTGCAGGAGATGTCACCGTTGTTAATGAATACTACAAGTTCGTCAGTACCAATGGAACCGCTGGATGATATGGATGAAACTGCTTCGGAATCGAATGATGGCATGGAGCACAGTAACACGAATACTACGAATACTACTACTTCTGCATCTGGAAAGGTAACTTCACCTCTTCTTGGTGCCATCCCTCTTTAATTTGTCGTTTCTTTGGAAGGCTGGCTGTCATTATTTTTTTTTTTTTTTGGTAGCTAATTTTGGCTAATTTTTCTGATAAATTTCAGGAAATGGTGGCGTGGCTAGCCGCACAGCCGAAATTGAATGCGCGTTCGAAAAGCGGTTATATCTTGTTTTCAGCTGAGGTCCGAAAGAAAGTAATGGTAGAAAATCCAGAAGCTGGTTTTGGCGAAGTTAGCAAAATTGTTGGCATCGAGGTATTAGGTTCCTTTACTCTTAAATTTGATGCGACTTTCCGGAAAGTGCTTCAAAAAATTTTCAATCCGTTTGACTGGTGAAGTGTGATGCAAGAGTTTGATTTCCACTTTATTGGCAGTTGGGTTAAAAAAAAAGATCAAAGAGATAATGGCGATAAAGCCGTAAATGTTGTGAGTGTGTAGTCGCAGCCCGAGCCAGTCTGTCCTGTTTTGGGAGCATTACGTTTTATATTAGAGCGCTCCGGATTGGCCTTCCTTGTGGTATAAGATGGAAAACAGTGAATCTAATAAATTGTTGTTTCCACGTGATTACGATATCCTATGGCAAATCAAGAAATCAAGCGTATAGATGTTCAATCAGCTGTCGTTTTTTGCAGTGGAAGAAACTTTCGGAAGAGCAAAAAAAACAGTACGAAGTTAGAGCAGAATACATAGCAAATGAACGAGCAAAGCAAGAAGCACGCGAGCCTGTTAACTACAGGTTATTGGTAAGCATTCCTGTCAATCAGAAATTTACGTTATTTCGTTGGCAAAAAAATTCGTGATGTGAGGGTTTTTTTTCCACTGCTTTTTTATGGCCTTTTTCGGGCTTTCTGTTGCTGTAAAAGAGAGGGAATAGATGTTATTGCAGGAAACTGGTTTGTTTGTTAAGAATTTCAAGTTCACATTTTTCAGCCTGGTCAAATTCGTGTCTTTGGCTGTAAATGGCAATCATGTGATTTCCAGTTCGATAATCCTGAAGAATTATATGATCATATAAAAACGGTGCATACATCACAAATCGGTAGATACTTTGTTTATTCAAATCTGTCTCTCACAGTTAGCTGCTTGCCTAATAGAGGCAATTTTTTATAAGGTGTTCGAGATACCGCATCTTTTTAAATTCCTGCTTTTGTTTCGCGTGTTTTTTTTTTTTTTTT